GCACATAAAACTCACGTAAATGCATATGCAACTACATGTAAATTACTGGTATAATACTTGTTTGACTAGCATGCTGTTTACTTCTGCTTATATGCTGAAGCTTCTTTATAGGCTGGTAGAAGGTCTTGACCAATAGCAGCATTTACCACTAACTCTTAACTTTGCCACGTTTTCACCATAAGAACTTCCTTTCCCTGCTTTGTCCTGCTGCTTTTTTGTAAGTGTTAAAATTTCATTTTGGTCTAGTTGACCAGCACTTTCAATATACATATTCAGTACTGTATATACTGTACTGTATGTATGTTTATGCTGTATACTGTATATGTAAAGTATATAATTTCAGTTTCAGTTAAGGGGATATCTACAGCTTTACTCATAGTCTTCTTTACAATTATTTTTTCTGATAGTGCTCCAAAGGTGACTTGTACAGTACTAGCTACCTGAATAGATCCACCCAATTAAATTGACATTAAACCCTTGTGAGTTGCTTTTAAGTCTACCATGGACCAGAGGCCTTAAGCTGGCTTCCCTCTGTAGAGGTGCCAGGAGCATGGTACTCTAGATCATCCTAACCTAGAAAATGACACCGGAAAGGTGGGCAAGCCAAAACAGACAATCAGCAAGGTAAACAAAGCATAAGTTTTTTTTTAAATGAATCCTAACTGAGCAAACCACTTGTCCATGAAGTTATGTAATATTAATTACACATGTGCTCCCGCATGTGGCAGCACACAGACAATCCCTCAACTAGACAGCCTCAGACATTTTGCCTGCGTGATGCATTATAATGGTTGCACTCTTCATTCCCGCTATAGAATTCTAAATCGCAGTTTTCAGATGTGTTGAGCATCCTGGACACTGCATTTTGTATATTTGTCCTGTGTTTCAGTGTTTGCTATATAGGGCATGTATTTTATGCTTAACTTATTGTTACCTGTTCACTTCAAACCACGCATGACTAGAGTGATCATATCTAGGTGTTCACTGGTGTTGCCTCTGCCTAGCTAGGGTTATTTTCCTTGGTGGGTTCGGGTGGCTCTCAATGAAGCCATATTTCTGAGGAAGATGCATCACCTTTAGCAGTGCAAGGGTAATTGAGTAAAAAAAAAAGTAGGGTCTTTTATTCCTTAGTGAGGCTTTGAGGTTTGGGGCAGTTTGGTTTTGTTGACAAGGATCACACGGGTCCTGGTATGCTCTTTGTATGGCACACTACTCGCACCCTTAGCAGCTGCCTATGCCCCTAGGCAGTTTTAAGTGTTTGTAATATTTGGCAAGTGGGGCTCCTGTGCCTGGCATTTCCTGCTTGGTCTGCCTTTCAGGACCTGGCAAGCCATTTGCAGTTTCAGAGGTTTTATTATGGACTGGCCCTCCAGTTCTGTCCTCACAGGCTGAGAGTTTGAAGGATGTGCTTCAGTCTTGATGTATTCTGATGGCCATTCTTACTGCCTCCCCGATGCCACCTACTGTACTCGCCTAATTAGGCGAGTTCTGTGTGTGAAGGGGGGGGGGGGTGAGACGTTACACTCTGCAACAGGTGGTTGTCTTTGGGTCTGTCTCTTAGCTGAGCCTCCCTCTTGGGACTTTACGTATCAAGCCATTGCTTCCTTTTGGGCTAGGTTTTTCTGTACAGTATGTGTAGGTTGCAGCTTGATATTGATATGACTACTCCAAGGTTGGCCACTTTATATTATTATGATCCAGACTGGGAGCAGTTGGTGGTTTCCAACAGCTCCATGTTTGTCCCCTTCCCTGAGTCTGGCTGATGTTGTTCAGCTGTTCAAGGGGCCTTCTCTTTTGTTCCCAGCTCTGAAACCTCTGAGGATTTTGGAGTCTGGTGATGGGATTTCTTTGGGTGTGGTTGGACAACCTCTGGGGACCACCTGTTCCACGTCAATGGTGGAAGTGATTGACCCAATGCTTCCCACAGAGGATCCACTGCCTTCTGTTTATCAGGGTATTGCATCTGCAGATCCTGGCCTGTGGGGGAGACACTTTTTTCTGTCTGCTGTGTCTGGTATGGAACACGGCTCTACCCTGGTGCCTTCATTTCTTGGGGGTGTCTTGAGTTAGGGGAATACCAAGAAGTGTCACTGGGTGCCTTTCACATTGATTGGTCATTGGTTCCCTCTACAGAAGGGTATTCATTGATAGTGGAGGGTCGATTATATCCCATGTCCACTTCTTGGTCCGGTTAGAGTCCCCTGGAGTCATTTTTATATGCTAATTTTTCAGAACTCCTGTCTTCCACTCTTGATCTTGATATATTTTGGTTCCTCCTTCAGAATCAATACCTTTATCTTTAATGTGCCTGTCTTTTGAATTCAGGTCAGCTGCTTTGTATTGATTGTGGTATGAGGTTCCCAATTCATCCTAGCTTATAGGCAACCCTCTCTTTTCCTGGGGGGATGGGGGGGGGGGGGTGGCTAGCAGGTTTCTACTGTTCCTGAACTCTTGAGTGGTACCAGGGGATTTCAGGCATTCTTGGGCTTTTGCACCACTCCAGGCTTGCCTGTTTGTGCCATCTTTGCCCCTGGATTCTGTTAGCTGCATGTTCAATTGTCTATGCATTCTAGGCCTGATATTGCAGAAGATCACAAGGCCTGTACACTTGGCTGGAATTTTGCATGTTTGGGCTGTTGTGGAGCTGTTCTCTGATTAGCTCCATGGTGGCTAATTAGCCTATTTTCTGTTTAAGCTAATTTACTGATTTATTTGTTTAAACAGTTAGTAGCTGTATAAAATTATTCGGGCTTTGTGAACATTCCCGAGAACATTCTCGGGCCCTCGAGAACATTCTCTGTAGATATTTTACAGTTACAAATACAGCACAGTATAATAGTAAATGTTTTCTTCACTGTACAGGTATCTTAGAATTTTAGTTTTATATAACATAATTATGTCTTGCTTTGTAAAATGATAATAGTACGTGTAGTCTTGCTTAGTATACCAGTTGTTGGCTATTCTATCTACATGTTGCTTTTCAAAATATAGTATATAAATGTAGGTGCCTGTTACACTTGCTTCAGATACTGCATGCTGGGTTGGTTCAGGTATAAGAATGTAGTGACCACTTGCTTGACCAAAAGGTAAGAGAGCTTTGGTCACTTGCTTGATCAAAAGGTAAGAGAGCTTTGGTCACTTGCTTGATCAAAAGGTAAGAGAGCTTTGGTCACTTGCTTGACCAAAAGGTAAGAGAGCTTTGGTCACTTGCTTGATCAAAAGGTAAGAGAGCTTTGGTCACTTGCTTGACCAAAAGGTAAGAGAGCTTTGGTCACTTGCTTGATCAAAAGGTAAGAGAGCTTTGGTCACTTGCTTGACCAAAAGGTAAGAGAGCTTTGGTCACTTGCTTGACCAAAAGGTAAGAGAGCTTTGGTCACTTGCTTGACCAAAAGGTAAGAGAGCTTTGGTCACTTGCTTGACCAAAGTGGCAGTGACCACTCACATGACCAAGACATAAGAGAGCAGTGGCCACTTTACCAGGAGGTAAGCACGCTGTGAATCAAAAGACGAGTGTCTTCAGCAAGTAACGTATATGAAGGAAATTACTAGGCTTGATGAAATATTGAATGTTTTAGCAGCTTTTGTTATAAAATTGTTTGAAAAAAATTATATACTGTTTTTATTTGTAGTCAGGATTTAGATGATATTGGTCAATAATTTTATCACTGACTGCATAGTGTTTTCATACACTAGATTGTATGATATAAAGTGCTTGCTAAATTGTCCGTCTCTTCTTTATCATTGCGTTTTGCCACATTTAGTCTCATTTGCTAATAATTAATCCATCATTGTGTCATTTGAATATTGTTGGTCTTATTTCTTGCCATTGGTGATTAACCTTCAACTTTGTGTACTATTTATAATGTAAACTTGTTTTTGTCTGCAAGGTCTTTAGCTTTCATGAGAATACAGGTATCTGTGTCGTAAGTTTGTTTGACAGAATATGTTTATCATTCTGGGGGGAAAGTATGAAGAGGTAAATAGACATTTTCTTTGCATATGTCTTGTTGAGCACAAACCTTCTAGTGCAGATTGTGGTACTGTACGTGTTACTGTGCTATCTGGTTGGTTATCTGTGTAATTTTCATTTCTGGTATTGCCTTCTCCTATCTCTATTATTTCATTTGATTGTATTGTTTGTGTTTTCAGTATATTAAATTTTTTCAGCATTTTCAAATTCAAAAACTTCTTTCATAAATGGGGTGTACATTTATAATTGACTAACACCCCAGAGGGTGCCAATTACACTTTGGTTAACATTTTAATGTATTAAAAATGTTACTTGCATATCTTGACATCTTCATCTTCTTTATCTTATAAAGTTTTGTAAGTATGAAATAAAGGGCTGCATGGAGAATATTACTGCATTCACAGGTTGCCAAGGACACGGTTAATGGAATATAATATGTACAGAATATTGGCTGGAAAGCTCTTGGTGTTGGCCGAGTTATCACATAATGAAGCAGTTGCTAACTTGTTTACAGATTAACGGGAAAAGTTAAACGAAAGAGGGTTACTTATTCTTTGCATACTAGTACTAAAACTAATGTCTAAAAGTCATACAGATTATAGAATTGTAAATTTAAAATTGGGAGAAGTGAGGATTGGTAGTTTATGTACAATATAAAGTGCAATAGGCAACTAAGACTTTACTAAGACATACAGTACACAGTATTATTATTCTTGACAGTCCTCCTCCTCCTCCCACTGTAGTGCTAATGTAGACGATCACACCCATCTCATCTAATGGTTTTAACATTTGGTATCTGTGTAGTTATTAAAACAAAGTTAATGAATAAAAATTTACTTACAGTAGTACTCTATGTAAACAAATTACTACAATCTTAGTTTAATTTGTGTAATAGACACTAATATGGTGTTTTAGGTACTGTCTTGGTTAGGTTTACATTAGATCTCCCTAATTGGCTTTTCATTGGCTTAAACTCTGATGCTCTGCTCTTTCTAACACATGTTGTAGCAGCCTTAACCTGGCTTCTCAGACATTGACCAATTAACGCGCATCCTTGTCATCGCTGGAACGCCTGATGAAGAAACTCTCTCTAAAATCACCAGTGATGAGGTAATTAGCTGCTATCAAAGTAGCCCTCCTCCTTCTTAAGTAATACTTTTTGTAACTTGTACAGAAGAATTAATCATAAATATCCAGCAGTAATAATAAGGTGGAGAGAGCATGAAAATTAGGCAAAAACTTGATTCGGCTCAGCGAATAGTAGTAGCTCATTAGTAGAATAACATTTAGTTGGTAGATGTCTGTAGGCATTTGGTCTGCCTGTCTGTTACTCTGAAGCATTGAAGAATATAATGTTAAAATGTTTTAATGTTTATTATTTTACAGTACAGTATATAATTTATATAAAATTTCTGAAGGTCAGTAATTGTCATGAGGATTTTGATTTAATTGTGTAATATAGATTTGGAAAATTCAGTTAATATGCACATGCATAGCAAGTCTTTCTTAAAATCATACAAACATTTGATTGCTTTTCTGTTGTTTTTACCTTTTCGAACACATGCACTATTCTTTTGTCTGGGCCAGCTTTAATCTGTGCACAATGTTGAATGTTGAGTTATACGTTAGTCTGTAATTTGATATGCTTTTTTTCTGATTGTGCACTCATTTCCCGTTACACTATAGCTTGATATTCCAATTCTGATGTGTTTGGTAGTTGATGATTTTATACTGTACAGTACGTGTTCATCTTTTGCTGCTATCAATTGGAGTAGAAAATAATAAGTGGAATCAAGTTTTTCCAGGTTTATTAATTTACTAAAAGGCTTGGTGTTATCTTCTGATAATTATTAAATTTACTAAATGGGAAATCATAATGAGGCTTCATATAACAATCATATTGGGTTTGAAAATCCTGTGATTTTGAAGATTCTTTGAGATCTTGCTTAAGAAATGCAGTCATCCTGTATGTTGTGAAATACAGTACAGTCTTCCTGCATGTTGTGTGATACAGTAGTCTTTCTGTATGTTATGAAATGGTCTTTCTGTATATTGTGTATGACTGGGATAGGATATTTTTATGTACTAAAGAATAATTTGTTCTTTTATAGTAAATTTTCATATTTTGTTAACCTTTAGAGTTTTTTGTTTTTCATATTACAGTAACTAGAATACTCCTTCCCAAGCCTTGTGAAGGTATTAGGATGATTGTTTCCTTAGCTGATGATATATTCCCTTTATCCTATCCTTAGTTGTAGTTGCCTTTCTAGTTATTAATCCTTGTTGCTCCCATTCTCACTACATCCATGGCTGTAGTAACTTTTGTCATTTGTCTCCTTCAGGTATAATCTTTTAACTCATTAATTGCACCATTATTTCTTTTCTCTTCCTGAACATTGCTGCTTTGATACATTATTCACATCCTGCCGAGTGTTAAACATTATCGGGCTTTAACTGAGAGGGGCAGGAAGTGTCACCTGTTGTCTTATGATGATCTTGTGTGACTCCATGTGCTAATTTAATCACAAGGTTTATAGGAAAAATGGTTAATGTCTTGGCTTAATGCATTTAATGTTTATCTTTTCTCATGCTTGCTTGATATGCTTAAACTGTGTAAATATAAGGACTAAGGTGGATCTTAGGTACAGCATAATCCTTTAGTGCTTTACCCCACTTAAGGTACTCACTATTTTGTCATCATTCATGTGCTTTCTATAATACAGTACTTAATTATGAGTGCTTATGTCATTGACTACAGGAGAGTGCGATCTAGCTCTTTATGCTCCCCCACCTAGCCATTTATACCCAGCATGCAACAATGACCTCTCTCAACATGAATGTTTTCATCATATTTTTTCATAAACATGTGGATGGAATTGACTTCAACAATCTTTTCCTTCAATGCATTCCACTTGCTGACCACTCGTACAGGAAACGAGATTTTCCTTGCATCTTTGTGACTCGGTTGCATGTCCAGTGTCCACTAATGCCCCCCTTGTCCTACCTCCTTTTAATTTAAATAGGCTTCCTCTGTTCACTTTGTCTATTCCCCTCAGAATCTTGTATGTAGTGATCACATCTCTGTTTCTTCTCTCATCTAAGGTTGTGAGGGTGAGTTCCCACAACCTGTTCTCATACTGAGCGCTCTCAATTCTGGTACTAATCTAGCTGTGAACTTCTGAACTTTCTCACGCTTCTTTTTGTGCTTCACATGGTGTGGGTTACATGCTGGTGGGGAATATGAATTTGGCAAGTAAAGGAATCATTAGTAGGAATCTTTATTACTACAATAAAGTACTTTGATAATACTTGTTCAAGTGATCAACACCAGCCCGTTGTCTTTAAAATTTCCTTTTCATTATCTTAAAGTTTTTAAATCCGCGTATTGGGTACGTTTATCATGAATAAGTGAATCACTAGCTTAACTCTGCTTAACTGCTTATGAAATGTGAAATTTTCATAACGACTTTATTTCTTAATTACTATATTGGATATTGTATTGCAATAAATTGCAATATTCACTGTTAGCAGTGTACCAGCCTATTGCTAATGTACAGAAGGTAATATTTGTTTGTGTAGTATTTTAACCCTTTCGCTGCATTAAGTGCTCTGGTCACCCAAAGGAAACTTAAGAGTTCAGTATAAAAAGTAGTTTTGTAGCAGGTGCCTAGAAAAGGTTTACATGTAGAGTAATGTTTGACCAGGTTCTTTGGCCTTCAAAACTGCTACCTAGACCTGGTACACGCTACCTTATGAGGGTAGCAATGGCCTAGGCTACTCTGTTCTTTTGTGATGTACAGTATTTCATTACCTCAATAAGTTGACTTGAAATTGAATGCTTCAATATGTCGGTGACAAAACCAAATGTAACCACAAGCAGTAGTGCCAAATCTGGCCAGAATGTCGCTCTTAAGTGCACTCATGCTCACACACGTTACAAGCAGTACTTCGATTTTGTTTACATTGTGTTGCACACAGAAAATCAGACTAACGTAATATATATCAATGAGAAAATCCACTGAATTTTCCACGGTAGAGTATGAGGCTGGCAATGCCTTGGTGGCAGGCTTGAGTTGCCTCACAGCCCCAGTGGATTTCCTTACAATGTGTTGTTGTTTTGTACACTGATATGTAAAAGTGATATATATAATATATAATTAAAGTTGGAGTCAATCTACAACCTCATTTTTTTTTTCTTTAAGTTCGTGTGTGCAAGTTTTTTCTTTTAGCTTGACTTGTTTACAATTAATAGCAGTATAAAAATCATGCTAAATATGAAAACGATATTCTCTATTCTTATTAGAATCAACACAAATCAATGTAGAGGAAATCAAAGCAGTACTTTTTGGCCATTATTTTACAACTAAAATGCATCAAATTCCTTGGTGAGTATGCTTATTGCTGTATTTATAATATTCTGTATATATATTGGGAACACTTATGGCCTTGTATTGAGTTATTTGGACCATGTTCTCTATTTGAAACTGAACTTAATCATTGCTTAATGGCATAGCAGAAAAAATGAGCCTTACTAGAAATGTAATAAAAATGGCAGAAAAATATTTGTACCTATATTTTGGCTTTTTGGAAATAAAAAAGGAAATGAGATGTTACAGCGAAAGGGTTGACAGTCTACATTTACTGAAAGGGAAGTTTTATAATATTATTCTTAACAAATATCCTTTGACTAACAGTTCATATCTGCTTAATATTTGGTGCAGTAAAGTCTAAATAGTGTATTACCAAAATACTGACAAACACTAATTAAGGATAATCATTTTAACCTGTACAGGTACAGGCTGTATTGTGTTTTGCTATTTAATCATTGACTTAAAAGGTTTTACTGTGGACCAGTATAAAAAGTACATAGAATTTTGCTTGTACAGTAATTTGGTTTATCTATTTTGTACTTATTTTGCACTTAATATTAATTTAATGAATGAATTTTACTTTTTCTCAAAATTTGTTTGAAATATTCATACTTTTACATTTCTAACATGAACATCAACACTGCATCTATGGTACTACATATCCCTAATCACACATGACATTTTCAGGCACGAAACTACATTCGTTCACTGCCTCAAATGAGGAAGAAGGACTTCCGGCAAGTTTTTAGGGGAGCCAATCCTCTTGGTTAGTGTCTTGGATATACGTTTTGATTTTACACTGGTATATATTAGGCTTTTGTAACATAATAAGAATAGACGAAACAATATTTTTTTGGCTCGGGTGAGACGGCTCCAGTTTATACCTAATCACACCCATTCATGTGTACAGTATGACTAACCTACACTTGAAATGTAATACAAATATTTTATTATTTTCTTGATTTTATAGCTGCATAAATAATATAATGGCTTTAATTTGCCATATGCATACTGGTCATTATTACAGAGCGTTGTCTTTCCAGCTGTGGACTTGCTAGAGAAAATGCTTGAGCTGGACAGTGAGCGGCGGGTAACAGCGGTACAGGCACTTTCACATCCATATCTAGCTCAGTATGCAGACCCGACGGATGAACCCGATAGTGAACCTTATGATCAGAGCTTTGAGGACATGGAATTACCAACAGAGAAGTGGAAAGGTAGGTGTTTTATTCGTCCAGATCATATAACAGTCTAGTGACCATAGGATATTCATCACTGAGCAAGCAATGGAGAGTATTACCTCTATTTTTGTCACATTTGATTAGATTTCAATGGAATTTTTATATAGGTATATGGTACATATTAAACAATTTACACAGTGGGGGATGTTAAGTCTAATTGAGTACCATATTTAACAAAGCAGGATTATTCTTAATGGTGAAAATTTTCTGTTTAGATTATTCATACATGAAACAAATATAGTAGAACCTTGGTACTTAAACTTAATTGGTACCAGAAGGTCGTTCGAGTGCTGACCTGTTTGAGTACCGAATCATTTTTCCCATGAGGAATAATGTAAATTGGATTAATCCTTTCCAGACCACAAAAAATACATATAAACACAATAAATATTGGATATTAATTATATTCTTAGCATAAGTCACACATATTCCTAACACATGTCACACTTAACACATTCCTAACACTTAATATAAGTCACACATGTTCACTAACCTAAGATGGTTAGTGAAAAGAGCCAAACGAAAAGAAAGTTAGAACCATGATAGAGATGAAAAATAACCATGTAGTTAATACGATAATGGTGTCCGCATGTCTGGTCTTGCTATTGTGTTTGGTATGCTTGTATTCTTGTAAGAAAAGCATCCAGCGAGTCTCAAGAGAGAAATAGACAGAAAATACAGAACCCCAGAAGCACAATTACCTAATGTGTTCATGAAAGGGGATTGCCCTACCTGGCAAACAATAACATCTCTTCCTCACCACCTTCCACATATGCCATCAACTCTCCAAAGGACAGATAAAGTGGAATAAATTTGCATTTATTTAATCTATTTTGTTTGTGTATCTTCTGTGGTCTGGAACAGTTAATCCAATTTACATTATTCCTAATGGGAAAAATTATTCGGTGCTCAAACAGGTCAGCACTTGAACACCCTTTTGGAACCAATTAAGTTTGAATACTGAGATTCCACTGTACTTACATGTTTTTTAGTAGATTCGTGTACCTCGTGATTCGGAAGCCGGGTGGGGAATCATTAGGTAGGACAACTCACGGTCATACAATTTTGCTGACTCGTCATGTAGGGTAGAGGGTTGCAGTGTTCAAGTTAATTTCTTCCCACAGAATTGGTGTATAAGGAGGTGACCAACTTCACACCAAAGCCTACAGTAATTGCTGAGGAAGCAGAGAAAGCCCAATCTGCAGCCAAATGAGGGATATAAACTAGTGGGAGCTACGTCAGGCTTTTTAATATACAAGGAATGTTTATTACATTCTGCTTAAGATTTACTCTACCAATAAATGTTAGAAGTTACCATTAGGTAATTTCACAGGATCATTCTCAGGAGAGTATGGATTTTAAACATTTTCTTGAGGGTATAAAAACCACTGACTAAGATTCTCTATATATTTCTTGTATTTTATTAATATTAATAGATAGAAAAAGTGACAAACACAGGACTTCTTAATTCAGGAACTAGCATTGCTCATTTGTTACCATGAACCTCCAAGATGTAGTTGTGTGTTTAACGGAGAGTGCAGTTTGAGAGGAAACATGATCAAATGGAGCTCAAAGACAGAAGCAGACTCTTAAGATGACTCTTGTCTGAGAGGACTATATCATCTCTATCAGAGGTAGACAATACTATCTGCTTATGAAGTGGAAATTAGGCCAAGTCAAAGTAGACAGAGCTGGAAGCATGCCAGGGGTTTGTCATGAACAGAAAATTAACACATACTGTAATTTATGCCTATAGCAAGTTTGAGAAACATGACATTTCCAATGCCAATTTGTTTGCCAGACTACAAATTTTATACATTTTCTTCCAAATTTTGCTTTTTTGTTTGATCATTTAAGTATACCATTCTTAAGTTTTGCTGATCTGTGTGATAGAAACATTGTTATGCTGTGGACATGAGATACATACTTGCATTCATAAATCTTTGCATCTATGTTTACAAATGTCAGTTGCTACAAGATGTTTTGTACAGGCTTGCTGTGATGAATACGTTGCTTTGTTTTATTTTTGATGAAATTTCAGATTATTGAGGATGCTTGGTATACAGTTGTGTTGCTGTGCATGATGTGCTAGGAGTAAATGATAACAAGTGCATTTTGAAAAATATTGATATCTTTCTCATTGTGGTTGATACTCAGTGCCCTCATGGCTCTGGAGTCATTTTAATACTTTGCATTCTGTGGTGGTGAAAATCCAACAGCGGCTATTTTCAGCCACATTGGAGTTACCTCAAACGAACTTGCAGACACTGCCTCTAAGGAAGTCATTTGTATTTGCAACATTTCCCAGAATAGGATTCCTTAATCGGATTTCTACCTAGTCATGCATTCTGTAATCCATGACCATTGGCAGGATTGTTGGGTTTGAATTACAGGTAACAAACTGTGTGCTCATAAAAATGACTTATCTCCTTGGCCTTCTTCCTACCACCATAATAGGTGATAGGGAAATGGCTCTGGATAAGTTGCACATCATTCACACTCGCTTAATTTGTAGGTACTTAATGGAACAATAGTCTGCCTTCTTTTGTCTGAACTCTTATTATCCCATTCGTCGTGCACCATGTACAATGTCTCGGTTTTCATGATTGTTTGCTTTGCTTTCCTGTGTCCCTTCAGGGTATCTAATCCTTCAATGGAATCTTTGGTGAATCCGACACCTTCGATGTCTTTTTGCCTTGTATCCTTTTGTTCTCGTATTTGCATTCTGAGTGATATTTAGCATCCTTTGAATATTTTGCGACACAGATGGTGCTACATAGTCTTCCCGGCTAAGTGCCTTCTTTTGATACTTACTTACCTGAAAGATACTGGTTTTCCTTTGTTAGGACAAGAAGCCTTTATTCAGGCTTATTGAGATCCTCCTTCCTTGGCCAACTACTCACCTTCCCCAAAATACTACCCAGAAAATAAACAAATCCACAAGGGCAGTGATGAGGGTTCGAACAATAGAACCCTTATCACGTCCCTCGTGGATTTGTTCATTTGATGCATCACGCTATTGTGATTTCTGTGTGCAACCCAGAAAAGTTGTCTAACTCCCAGGTACCTATTTACTGATAGATAAACATGCATTAGGGGAAAAGGGAACATGCCCAGCTATCTGTGCTGCCTGGTAATTGAACCCAAGACTCATGGTTATGAGGTCACAATGTAGAACACTGCTGCAGTGGCCTACTAATGTGTGTGTTTTATAGGAAGAAAATTTTTTTCTTCTTATTTTACAGAAAATAAGAAGCCATTTTGGAAAGAGGTTTGAGTTTTTAAGTTGAGTTGTGTGTTTTAAGCATAAAAGTATACGTGATGTATGGTAATGTGCAAGTAATGTAAGTGCAGAAAAGATAGTATAATTGATCATGTCCTTGCAGAGACGCATGCTAAAGAATGAGATTTTCCTGATCACACGATAGTGTTACTCAAGATAAGTTTTAATTGTAAATGGTGGATGGTGCAACACCGATTCAAAATGTGAGCACGAAAACGAGAATTGATAGAGATCTATGTGTAAAAGCCCTTAATCAAATGAATCTCGATATCATGTGGAAGGTACACAAAGAATGTTTAGTTATGAAATCTTTGCTGGTGTGAGGTGTTGCACAAACTGGTATAAAAATTAGAGGAATATCTTTGTGGAACAATATGGTGACAAGGAAAATTGATTCTGTGGATTCAAATAAAGGGATAAAGAGAGGCAAGATAAGAGTTCATTTAATTTGGATTGAAATTTCATGAAAACTAGAAAATAGGAAGCCATTTTGGAAAGAGGTTTGAGTTTTTAGCAAAAACACTGATGGAAAAGTTAATGGAAAAATAAAGATACTGTATATGGAAGAATGTTGAGTAGTAAGGATATTAAAAGGTGGATATTTTGCCTCCCACCTCATGAAAGTGGGAAATAGTTTAGTAATGATATGTACTGTACAGTATTGTAATTTTAAAATTCTTCATGCTTAATTCCTCTTATGTTCTCAGATCTGTCTAGTCTGATTTTGTAATTTTTTCCCTTTTGATAAGCAGCTAGTTTCATATATCTTAGATCTGATAAAGCTCTTTCATGGAAAATGCCATCTTAAAGTCTGCTTCTAGTTTAGAGGAAACAGTGCAAGTTTTATAGCTGTGTTTAATATTAGTACAGTACTTATAATTTCCAATGAATTGTAATTCCGTACAACACAACATCTCGGCTTAAGATGATCATGATGACTTTATATTTCAGTTGAGGGAAAGGTGACGTCAAAGACAAAAATTGTAAAAACTCTCAATTTAAATGAGTAAATAATTCGTGTAATAATGATTATTTTCTTTACTTTCCCTGTTGTATTTTTTTTTTGTCTGGGGTAAAGTACAGTACATTTTACTGAACTAGCTGTATTTTGGGGGTTGTGCTTTAGCTCCTGGGCTGTGGCTCAAACATACATCGAGATACAGCTTATATATCAAATACTAATCACTGCCTTCTCTCGTGTCTTCTATGTTAATGTGCATCTATATTTTCTTAAGAACTGTGCTATATAATATTAGAGGAGGTTTACAAAGATTCTAGGGGCAGGCTCTCTTACCTGTTTTTGCAGGTTGTTGATTATAATAGGTGCCTAAAGTTCCTATACAAATTTATCTTAGTATGCAAGGGAGGCACCTTGGTAAAGAAGGCACGTAATTGTTACAACTATGTACAGTATATTATTAATTAAAAGTCCAAATCAAGTGTTCGGTATATTATAGTGCTAATGTACACAAGTGTTTTCTTTAAGATGTTATACTCATGTTACATTATTAATGCATTAAATGAATTAAACTCCAGGAAACCATGAATGTGTGTTCTTGAGTGCGACTAATATACTGATGTGACAATGATGAGTTTAATGGAGATATTACTGGCCAATGTTTATGGTAAATTAGGGTCAGGTACAGTACTTGTAAGTCTTGTACACTCGGCTACTGAACATGTAAATAAATAATGAATGACACAAAATTTATATGTATAAATATGCATATCCTCTTTTCTTTGTCTTAAGAGCTTCACACTAGTGTGATCATTTGATTAAATGTTTACATTTTTTTAAAGGTTTTACAAAGACCTAAAATTATTTTTGCCTTTACATGTGATGCATAAACTAATTCATTTCATACATTGCACACTCGACAAACTCAAGATTATCTGGACCACTTGGGACTGGACTCTGCTACATTCTGAGCTCTGGATAATATACAACTTTTTATTTTTAACTAAACAAAAACATTATGGAGCATGTATACAGTACTTTGTGTAATTTTTGTATAATAGAATGTAATTAAAAAAAATTGTGTGCACACACAAAATCTGAGAAAATCCTTGGCATATGTGAATATGAATTGCAAACTTCACGTTACTGTATGTGAGAAAATTTTCCAGAGACCTCTCAAACTCTTCATTTGACCACTCGGTAAAGTATTCATTTTAACATTATAGTGCATTCTTGATTCAGTGAACTATATGGAACAAACTTCATTGCATCTGTAGATTTGTTGCAATTAGAGATGCCTTCAGGAAGCATGCTGTGCAGCCAACTGCAGCCCCTAATTTGTTGGGCTGCCACCTAGTGGTGGACAAGTATCTAGCAGCTGGAACTGGATAATGATGTATACATAGTTTGTTAGGTTTGGCAATATTTTCAGTGCAGTTGCTTGTTTTGGGGCATGGCCTTTCTAGTGGCGTTATTTTCTTGGCCATTTACAATTGCTGTCTTATTCATACCGTCCCAGTTTCAAGAGTAATTTTTCCCACCTCCTTGTACATACGTGATGGTCTGGTGATTATTTCAGTTCAAGCAGGAAGTGTGCAAGTTGCACTGTTTATAAGAAATTGCTGTTTTAAGATTTCTTTAAGGAAGGGGGTTAGCATATCTACTATTTTCCAATATGGCAGTTGCAACCGTTCCACAAGAGTATTTTAATGTGTTATTAGATAATTAAAAACAAATATTTTCTTGTTCAACATACCAATTTATAATTCCTCATAGTTAACCATATTAATAAAATGCTAAATAAGAAGCTTATTATCCTCAACTTAAACTAAGTTCAAACTAAAACTAAAGTAATTTTGAATGGAGCTTGGAAAATGTACATACATCATTAAAGAATTAGGATCTAGCACATAAAACTAAAATTTGCTGAACTCTTAACAAATGCAATATTTAAATATTTCAGGAAAACTGTACATGAATGATTTTGTAAGACTAAGAAATACTTGCCACATTGGCATAACCTAATAACTTGCAAACAAAACAGATTTCATTAATAATATAAAAAGCCCCAACTAGAACCTGTGAAGCCATAAACATAACAACTATTATTATGGCAGCAGAAAAGGACAAATTCATTCCATTTTCCACCACTTTAGAGAACCAGCCTAGATCATCATATGGCACAGCTAAATCATCAATGTTGAATATAGCATGAGTTGTATCGTTCACACCATTTAACTGACTTGTCTGAATGTGTGAATATAAACCATTTCCAATTTCGGTTTTAGTGTCAAATTCTTGAATTTCATTTTTCGATGAATCAGATATTTTACTTTCATTTTTTGATGGAAAGGTATTGGTCCTTTTATCATCTAAGGTAGTTATCATTTGTTGTCGTGCAGACACAGCCAAAAGTCGATGCACCACACCCTTTATTGCAAGAATTATACCATCTTCGAAGTTGTGAGTTCGCTTTGTGATAACATGACCAGTTATTATACTAATCTCTTCTTCTTTTTCTTCATTAACTGTGACATCTTTTTTAGCATGTTGAGAACTGTGATCACACAGGCAATGAGACCCTTCCTGTGAGAACAAAGTATTTATATGAATGTTTGACATCATTAAAGAATTTATATTACGACCAATTCATCCAATTATCATCATGAACACAACCCTATTGATTTCTTTCATGAGGTGGAAAAGCATCACAAGAAATGGGACAAATACAAGGAAAGGTTATTGATATTAACAAATAACACTTGCCAATTCTTCATATTCTTCAAATTTTTTAGCATCGTATAAACAAGTACCACCACACTCCATTAATCATCCATGGCAGCACCTATCTGCTTCATGAGATTGGGTGTACAGTGCTCCTAATGAATTGTTATTTACAATACAAATACATTCTTTATAAACCATTGCCACCCAAACTTATGTTTACCATATCCTATTCATTATTCGCTTAATTTCTGAAATTAATTCTCAAATTATTCACACAATTCAGTCACTCGCCATGTCCACCCATTATCTTTCCAGACTTCCTCTTCTCCTACTTTCAAAGTCAATAAAATACACACATCACCAGTCTATCATCATCCATTTCTTAGTGCCATTTCTCATTGTATATTGTATACATACACTCAAACAACTTCATTACACATATTATTAAACCTGCCATTCATTTTATCATTAACTCTCACATATGCACAATGTGTTTCCCAGCATTTATCAGAAATCAGCCAATTCCATATGAACTCACCTTAGTTGTATGATGACACTCCTTGGCATCTTTGTCTCCACTGTTAAAGTTATTTTATAGGATTAGTTCTGAACTTCAAAATTGCCAATACAGTATTTCAACTCACCTCTTGTAAATCTTTGCCATTTGCAGTAGTATTTCCCACCAATATCTTGTTTTCCTGATGCCTCAAAATATCAGTCATGGTGTCTAAGAAACTTTTAAGTTCTTCTGCAGTGGTCATGTTCTGGTACCTATTGATGGGTGAATTTTCCTGGTCTGGGTCTTCCTTGCATTTCATGCAGCAGTAGATATCCAGGTGACCGCAGGTTACATTTAGAATCTTTGCAAAGAATTTTTTATAGGTATATTCACACAACTCTGAACATAGTTTTACTTTATATCCATGCACATAATTATTCAGATTAAGATTTAGTGAAGTTTATTCAGTAGCCAAAGATGGAATCCAAAGCCTCAGGACTAATAATGATACAAATCGGATAGGAGAGGGCTGATCTCAAAGCGACTTAAAATACTGAACAAATTGAAAGATATTAACCCGGATCATTTCTTAAAGAAGGCCAATGTAATGCACATAAGGGTTACAAGAGATGCTTTTTTACTCATTATATAATAAACCCATGGAATAGTTACACACTGAAGCATTAAATGCCAAGGCAATAGTATCATTTAAAATTTAGCTGGAAAATATCCTCAGGATTAATGGCAGAAGGGGTGTCCATTAACAACCCTTCTTGACCCAGTTGAGGTCCAAGAGATGGTGTCCCTAAGGTAAACATAATTATTTTTGCCATCGGGCTACTTTTTAATCTTCAGTTTTAAGTCAATATAATGATACAGTACATTTTTAAGATAATGCATGAGACCTCAGGGAAAAGAAACATAGGTATTCATTTGCACAATGGCCAGCAGACAAATAGGATTTAGATTTCACTGAAACGATCACTAGAAATCCCTAAGTCACAAAAAATAAACTATATATAAACTTGTTAATTTATAAAAAACATTAATTTACAAATCTCACTTACCTTGTAGAATGGAACTTTTGGAATCTCTATCTGGCACACATCTCCTGGTTTAATACAGCAGCAGGAATAAGGCTTTATGATATCAGAAAAAATTACCAGCTGATTCAACGACATTTTGTCCATCCTGTAAGGTTAAGTAGTTTTGATTTACTTTTAAGTTGCACTGGCATATAATGAATACTTTAAAGTACCTATTCCACCATGTCTGTGATAGGCAAAATAAAGTCGACCAAATTCAATCACTCAATCATTAACTATGGCACATATGTCCTCAAGGTAATCAGCTTTACATGGACCTGCAAAAGCCTTTTTTTTATCCTTAAATTGTGTACGCCTACCAGTATTAAATACACTTTTCTAAGTGGTTCATGTACCAAAATGCTGAAGATGATTAGTGGCTTTATAAAGAGTATAAATGCCTACCATGTACAGAATCAGGTCCTGTTATTTTTGATAAAAAATATATATGTATTATTACAGTACTGTATTATTAAAAATTATCTACAGTCTAAAAATTTATATTATTACAGTACTGTATTATTAAAAAATGTTGACTAAATTATAAATTACTGAGTATTATACAAATCTGGATATTCTGTTCACTTCATCTTAATAATAATATTAAATATATAATATTACTGTATAAGCAAACCTGGCAAAAATGGAATCTATCCACCAATAGGGATAGAACCTATAGTTACTACGGGTGGAATGATAGTACTTATGGCTACTATGGCTGTAATGCACAAAACATAGAGCTGTAAAAATGCATGATTGTGCTTTATTTACAAAACATGATTACAGTTGATAATAAGTCACCAAGGTTTCGTATGTAAAGTTACATTTAACACTTTACCTCTCAATTACAAGCATTAGTTCATTCCAACCATAAACTAAAATATGTAATTTTTTACTATATTATAATATTTTTTTGTAAATATAGGTACCATAGCTGCTGCAAACTGTGTGCTACATAAATTTGGAATCCAGTCTTACTTTTGAAATGTGTCGTGCAGTGTTGGCCTTGCTGGTGGTGGTATTGGTTGAGTCTGCCTTACTGACGCTCTGGCGCTCCAGTCAACTGTGTCTGCATTTACCATCATTGTGGCTTTCGTGGCACTCACTAACACCACAGCCATTACTATGGGTCCATCACAAAAAGAAACATAATGACATCTTAATATAACTACAGAATGAAGTCTTATAAATTATTAAGTGGTGCAACATAAAAGTATTAATTCCATTAGGAAGAACTGAAATAATGGCAACGGAATATCAAAATTGAACGGCTGTAAATATTAGTAAAGTTGCATTTATTTATTTTGACAGTCGCAATGAATGTATTTTATCTTCAAAATGTGCCCATTTTTGTTTTGACAATACTGTACATATATACATAGTGTATGTATATATATATATATATATATATATATATATATATATATATATATATATATATATATATATATATATATATATATATATATATATATGACAATGTCAGACCACGGAGGAAAAATGAAACAGGAAATTTCCTTAAGTACTTTCGTATATTAAATACATCTTCAGAAGGTCATTTTACAGATCGAGTGATGGGTATAAATAGGCAGGAAGGAGTGGTGAGGTAAGGTGAGGTACAATACTTGGACAACGCAGAAGGCCCATTGGCCCATCAGATGCACCCAATTGGCACATCCGATGTAGCACAATGGCCCATCTGATACAGCAGACATACAAGCATAATATATAGGTAATTATAACATAAAGAAGTAAAAATATACAATAAATTAGTGAGACAAATGTTTTTCAATGATTCTACTTAAATCGCCCTTTAGCTGATCTATTAGAAATGGATCTAAGTTATATAGACCACTGCTAATATTCAAATTACTTTCTTTGGTGATCTGTATCAAAGCAGATTCAATTATGTTTCTGTTATAGGTGCTTTTACAATTTGTTATTGAAGAAGCACTCTCCCAATCAATTTGGTGAGCTTTTTCTGACAAATGCACAAACAAAGCATTAGACAATTGGCCATGTTTTACAGAGTATTTATGTTGCGATATTCTACATTTTAAATCTTCAGATGTTTGCCCGACATAGAACTTATTACATTCCTTACAAGGTATTTTATAAATGACGCAATTATCACTACGACGGCTGTTCCTTACTAATAGCTTACCAACAGTGTTTTCGTAGCTAAACATTACATCTATATTAAAAAGTTTCAAGGCCTTGACAATATTCTCAAACCCAGAGAAATATGGTAAACATAACACATTCTTTGGGCGAATCCTTTCACTGCATACATTATTATAATATGTACGACGAGCTTTGTTACGACAAACTTCCAAAAAATTCAGTGGGTAACAAAGCTTCCAAATTTTCCAAAACTTCCAAATTTTTTGGAAGTTTGTCGTAACAAAGCTCGTCGTACATATTATAATAATGTATGCAGTGAAAGGACTCGCCCAAAGAATGTGTTATGTTTACCATATTTCTCTGGGTTTGAGAATATTGTCAAGGCCTTGAAACTTTTTAATATAGATGTAATGTTTAGCTACGAAAACACTGTTGGTAAGCTATTAGTAAGGAACAGCCGTCGTAGTGATAATTGCGTCATTTATAAAATACCTTGTAAGGAATGTAATAAGTTCTATGTCGGGCAAACATCTAAAGATTTAAAATGTAGAATATCGCAACATAAATACTCTGTAAAACATGGCCAATTGTCTAATGCTTTGTTTGTGCATTTGTCAGAAAAAGCTCACCAAATTGATTGGGAGAGTGCTTCTTCAATAACAAATTGTAAAAGCACCTATAACAGAAACATAATTGAATCTGCTTTGATACAGATCACCAAAGAAAGTAATTTGAATATTAGCAGTGGTCTATATAACTTAGATCCATTTCTAATAGATCAGCTAAAGGGCGATTTAAGTAGAATCATTGAAAAACATTTGTCTCACTAATTTATTGTATATTTTTACTTCTTTATGTTATAATTACCTATATATTATGCTTGTATGTCTGCTGTATCAGATGGGCCATTGTGCTACATCGGATGTGCCAATTGGGTGCATCTGATGGGCCAATGGGCCTTCTGCGTTGTCCAAGTATTGTACCTCACCTTACCTCACCACTCCTTCCTGCCTATTTATACCCATTACTCGATCTGTAAAATGACCTTCTGAAGATGTATTTAATATACGAAAGTACTTAAGGAAATTTCCTGTTTCATTTTTCCTCCGTGGTCTGACATTGTCACATTCTTAATCACGTGTTTATTTTCGTGATATACACACATATATATATATATATATATATATATATATATATATATATATATATATATATATATATATATATGACATGACTACTCCAAAGCACTTATCATATCTCGTAAAGGTCGTTATGATCGTGTGTTACTTAAATCTTCATTGATTTAAGTACTAATTAACTACGGTATGAATTTCAGGCTCGGAAAGCTACTAACCTTTCAAGAATAGAAGCAGCAGCATTTTAAAAAAACAACTCTCAACTATTTCCTGAGTGATGTTGATTTCACTTAAAACGACGTCCGACGAATAACAAATATTATTACTTTCACAACGATGCTCCAAATAATTTATTGTACAGTATATAACTTAAGTCTCCGGCTTGAGGGAAGAATACTCAGGAGGCCACACGTGCACGTCCCACCTCTCCCACCGTCAGTGCCAGACTGACCGCGAGGAACGTACGACAGTACTGTTGCGACTGAGGTCAACCCGCCCCCTTTTCTTCCTTTTAAATTCAAATTCAAATTCAAATTTTTAGCTTAATTAAGCTTAATAATAGCTTTTTAAGCGTAATAAAAAGAACTTAATAATTTGGCGTGCTATTTAACTCAACCATCACACAAAGACAACCTGATTTTGAGAGTATGTGGAATTTTTTACTTTATAATAAGTTAATTGGGCGCTAATCAAATAGCACTTTTTTTTAGGGGTCAAGAAAGCATCCCATCTACATATTCTCGTATCGTTAAACATTACTATCTACCAGCTGCAGATGGCTTGATAATCTCGACGACATTTTAATCTCATTACGCAGCACGTGGTTGTATCTGAAGCCAGAAATGGATACATATGCATATTCAATTAAACAATTAGTCATTTTGATAAATCTCCTCACTCACAGGGCTTCAAAACACGTTAAATAAATTGCTTGTCCAAGCTGTGGCCGAGAAATTATCGAAAGTCATCAGTTGTGAGTCTTATATTTTTATGTAAAATGTTTTCCATTCATAAACAGGGAAGTTGGCCACTAAATTAACGAGCATTTGGCTTTTGTTTACGAGGACAGGATGCTGCATTTAAAGAGGCGCGACTCGAAAAGAGAACGTGAGCAAAGCTCTGAGCAGTAATATTAATTATTTGCATTAATTTTAAAACACCCTTCTTTAGAAAACGTAGTTTCTAGTCTTGGATATCGACACCCGACGTATCACAGTATGTTAATTTCGTTTAACCATTTTGTGAAATTCGTAATAAAACATGTTTAAACATTATATAATAATTGATAATAACGTTAAAAATTTACTTTCCCTATTAATACAACTACATACGAAATTACGTATTTATTATTCGTTCTTCCAAGGAGAAATTCTCAACCTGATTTGATGTTATTATATATAATACATGTACAATTTTGTGTTTCATCCATTGTCGTATATCTAACAATTTCTCCAAAGGAAAATCAGACCCGGAAATAATGTTTAACGTCTTTGTTGTGGACATGAGGCTTGCCTGGGTTTGGAGGGGAGACTCCTTCAACTTCTCAAATTCTGTGATGTCATATAAGTTTTAATGAGGCGCAAAGTTGTCTACAATAAATAGACTCCAAGAACTGCACTGAGCAGTTTTTTATTGCTGCCACCAACGGCGCCTAGTTTATTGTGCACCCCATTCTCATCCAGTGAGCGATAGCGCAGAAAAGATTTACAGAGGGCGCAAAAGGTCCTAATACAACTATTCTACGCACATTATAAATATAATAGTTAGTACCATACCTTACCTTGCGGTAATTTCAGGGGTCTGGGTCCCCGCGGCCCGGTCTCTGCCACACAGGCTTGTCATAAGAACCCAACTGGCTCATAAATATACATCCAAATAAAAAATATATATTACCTGTCTTTCTGGAACTGTAGTAGTGACTCTATACTAGATGTGTACCGGTAGATTTTAAATACTTCCGGTTATAGTTCTGTGAGCGGGCAACTTACCCTTATCTTGAGATGATTTCGGGGCTTTAGTGTCCCCCGCGGCCCGGTCCTGGACCAGGCCTCCACCCCCAGGAAGCAACCCGTGACAGCTGACTAACACCCAGGTACATATTTTACTGCTAGGTAACAGGGGCATAGGGTGAAAGAAACTCTGCCCATTGTTTCTCGCTGGCGCCCGGGATTGAACCCGGGATCACAGGATCAAAAAGCACAGTGTGCTGTCCGCTCGGCCGACCGGCTCCCTTGCTGTGAGCGGAATGAACAACGTGCCAATATTGGAGCAAATAACGTACTTTTGTTGGAAGCTGGAGCGTACTGCCAGCGTCTATATCAACCACGTGTTTTTAGGGACAACCAAGCTATATCGACCATCACCATATGACCTCTCCTAATGTAGGCAAGGGTCATGAATTTCTCCCTCGGCGCACCTAGATACACGACACACATCATTATCATCATTATACTGGCGTCTCATTGTTGCGCCAGTCAGCTGTGTGGGTCACCACGTAATGACAGGTACCAGCAACGTTTCAGATGGTAATTTTCTCGTCAAAGTCTTTTTTTTCTATTCATGGGTCACGGGAAAGGCGTGTATTTGCTGGCGTCAAGGTAGAGGAGTAACGGAGTGTTGTGGGGCTTGCCTAGAGTGGACTAGCAGCTTCTTGTCCCTCCCAGAAAACTGAATATTTCTAATACACGAGGTTGTTTATGAATAATATATTTCATAGTTTTTAATATGCTAGGCTTACCTAACCACCGACTATTAAGTTGGGTCAAAATTGTTATCGAAATTGCAAAGAAATAGGTTAATAACCTATTACACGGGATATATTGAGTTACTCTGGACTATTCTTACCACAATAAAACCTCTAAATAATTCTTTAGTATATCACCTACACTTGCATTTCGATTTGTTTGGGATTACACTTAAGGTCCATCAGCTATACGATGGTTATCAAGGCCGTTCTCGCACTTTCGTACAGTCAATATTGACTTATTAAATAAGTGCATATGTGACATACTAATTTATTGTGAATATTTTAGTTTACCTTGAAAAGCTTCATAGAAAACACCGACCTTACCTAACCTTCTTAGTATGTTAAGATAAGCATCTTATTGCTTCTTAATTACAATTATTACTTAACCAATTATAGGTATAGGTTAAGTAATAATTGTAATTACGAACCAATAAGATGCTTATCTTAACATACTAAGAAGGTTAGGTAAGGTCGGTGTTGCCTATGAAGCTTTTCAAGGTAAACTAAAATATTCACAATAAATTAGTATGTTACATATGCACTTATTTAATAAGTGAATATTGACTGTACGAAAGTGCGAGAAGCTCACTGACCAATTAGCAACCACTGAATACTTTATTACTGAACACACTCCAAGAATAAAGTAAAGTCAGTGGCTATACACCTGCAAATGAGGTACACATTTCAGTGTGTATGTCATCTTCAAACACCACTATTAGGTCCCTCAGCGCGATTCTCTCTCCCAAACAGTATTTAAACCACTGGACAGTTATGTAAGGCCTTCACAGAAGTTTCCAAGCCTGGTTACCTTGAGGTTACCTTGAGGTGCTTCCGGGGCTTAGCGTCCCCGCGGCCCGGTCGTCGACCAGGCCTCCTGGTTGCTGGACTGGTCAACCAGGCTGTTGGACGCGGCTGCTCGCAGACTGACGTACGAATCACAGCCTGGTTGATCAGGTCTGCCGTATACTTTGTTCCTGAATATAATTTTGGCCTAAATTAAACTATCTATATACCAAATACACCGAAATTACTTACCGAAAAGTGGGGTAAATCTCTCAGTATTCACAGAGTTGTTCAGTTATTCAGTTCAGAATATTTAGCTCAGTTTAGTTAATTTATTATGAGGTGGAAGGTGTTACAGAGGCACAGAATGGGCTAATATGTGAACTCATTTTGTTGACATTCATCAGCTGATATGCAACGTGCGTGGTTGGTCACGTGTCCCGCTGAGCCGGCAACCTGATTGGTTAAGCGAGAAGATAAACAATGTTACCGTCACTCTGATCAAACGAAAAGTAGTAGTGACACGTGGAGGAGCAGCTGAACCAGAAGCAAATCTCAACTAACTCCCCGAGAGTTCTTAAGAACCCTTGTACGCAGCTACGTAGGGAGAAATATTCGACGCTTTGTGAATCTAGGTACGTAAGTAGTTGCGTAAATGCTCGTTGAATCCCTGCCTAGTGGTAGCCATACTGTTACTAGACCAACTTAATAGATTACACAGATTACCTTCTTAATGCTACAAGGAAAGTAATTATAGCTCAGGTTTGGGTAACATTAGTTTGGGGTTGGTCTTAAGGCCTGTCAAACGTAGGGGGGGGGGGTTATAAAGGCCATCACAAGAATTTAGTCCAAACTAAAGTCAACTTTCATTGTATATTTGCACAGGTACTATTATGCATCAGGCTTCGGTCGGCTCACGCTCGAAGCAGCATTCCTTCCTTGCCTATAAAACCACCGGTAGCAGAAGCAGCAGTAACAGGCAAAGGCTAGCTTCTCCGAGCCGGTGCAGTACGTGTATAGTGGATCTTTCCTGGTTATAGCCATCGTTCAACTATTCCTCTACTGACTGCTACAGTCTCAACAGCGACGATTCAACAGGTAAGCCGCTGGATGGGTTGCATAAGTATACCTTACTTTATTGTTCTGGTAGTCTGGTATCTTCTCCTGCGAGTTGTGTTGAAAAGTAGATTAGATTTCTAGAAATGTTGTACATTTTTACTTATTGATGATTATTAACATTCATGAATTATGTTCGGGAAATAATTACCATTTGCCAATATGTTGTTCTAAATCGACGCAATAGTTTGCCTAGGGACAATTTACTATATGTTTCCTATTCTAATCTTCCTGAGGATTGTAAAGGACTGAATGCAGTACATGGTAATAGGTGAAGTAGAGTCCACATATTCTTGGGTTATGGCATGAATGCTGCCTTCCAAACTCCAAGTAAGTCTGGTAGTATCTCTGGTTGAGATACTTTTGAGTTCACCATGGCTGAGGCGGTAGTGTGTGTACTTGGAGAGTGCATGTATGCAGGTTCGAGTCCATTTTATAGCCTCAGTATTCTCTCTCAGGTACGTCAGGTTCGTGTGGTTCCATTGTAATTGTTTAGTGATGAGTTTTAAAAATCCTCTACCGTAAATAATTTTGTTTAAAGCTAGTATATATAAATCCCCCAACTTGCAATAATATATATATAGGACAAAATTAACACACTACCTATACTTGTATATATTCCGAATCTTGAAAAGGTAAATAACTACTCTTAGTAATTTTATATTAGTATATTTGACATAATTATATACAACACGCATGAAATGTAAATTAGTCACTAATTACGTAGAAATTTTTATGTTCTTTATATACAAAATCATATTGAGCTATTGGTCTTATTATAATAATAATTACAAAAATAAGGAATCTATATGTAGTAAGAATTATGGCATCATTACACTGAACTCTCGGGGTAAACACATTTATAATGCAAAGTAATACAAAATATTTATAATGAAAAGTAATACAAAATATTTATAATGAAAAGTAATACAAAATATTTATAATGCAAAGTAATACACAATATTTATAATGCAAAGTAATACACAATATTTATAATGCAAAGTAATACACAATATTTCCATTTTTAATATTAACAAAAATTCTTAAGACAGATATGTAAGTTCTATTAATTGCACATTATATTTTATACCTAATCTCTGGAAATTGGAAACATTAATAAATAAATCAGGTAATTATACATATTATTATTATTATAAATCAGGTAATTATACATATTATTCGTGGGTGGCAGTTCGTCTCCTTCACATGTATCCCGAAACTCTACTAACTCCGCTGGTCGCCCACACAAATGAAAGGTCGTTTGTATGGGACTGAATGTGCTTACAGACTGTTGTTTTAGATTTAGCTACCCAGAACGAAATGTTTATGTAGCACGGGCTATAGTGAGCCCGTAATGTGCGTATAAACCTTGGCTGTTGCCTATATTGACTCCTTACGGTCTATTCATGCCCGTACCACCTCTTGGGTGGCTCAATCTTCATCAATCTATATTGACTTTGTAGGGCTTGCAAGTGGTGGCGTCACCCCTCTACCAATACCCGTAAGTACAAAGAATTGGATCATTAGTACAATTTTATCTCCATTGCTTCGGAGACCATTGGTACCTTGAGTAAAAGTGCCAAGAGTTTTCTCAAAGGTCTAGGCTGATCGAAGCTGATCAGCCTAGACCAGGTACCAAAAGGTACCAGTTGACTGGTACCTTTTCTAACACGTTAGTGTGACAATGCAGAGGGAAAATGCACAAAACATTCTTGGTTCCTAAAAGGCATTTGAGCTCTGCAGTCCGTGGCTGTTAACGTTGTACCTTTTATATAACCAATCCTGTAACAAATCTTGTGTAATACAATTTCAGATATATAGTAAATAGCGATGGTAGTAGAACATAATATACAAGAGCATACGTAGGAGCCTCATAAGGCCACCCCCTGGGTGCCGTATATTCACTTGTATAAGTGAAGGCTAGTACAACCGGTGTACTTCAGTCATACAACTACTGGTATAGTCAACTAATGAAATGTTGAGAAGAAAATATGCTAAGAAGCAGATGCCGATTATGACTATTAATACTGTACTAATGTACGATATAAATAAAGCTACGGACTAAAGAGAAATCATCCTTATAAGTAACGCTTATCATGCTTAAAATGCATTGCCTTATAGCTAGGGTTATAAGGTTTAGCTTGTACATCTATAGAGAAAAATCACTATTACAGAAGTTACGAATACTAGATGACCTTAGTTACGGAGTAAAGATTATTAATGTGCATAGAGAGGATTTATTAACACGCTGATGCATGAGCAGTACATCTAAATTCACAGTAGTGACAATGTCAGGACAAATGCAGTTCACTGGTATGATGCATTGTATTCTTATTGAAAGAATACAAATGTATTATGTCTAAATTTAAAATTAAAGTGAGCAGACTGAACACATAAAGATACTTATTGGAGATCGTGACTAATATAAATAATATAACTATAAGAGTGATGATATAAAATTTGATAATTTTACTAGTGCATTGGCTTGCACTCAAAATAATATATCTATAGTTACAATGGAAGAACTAATTTCATTCAGTCCAAACCAAGATAATACTTGATAATACTTATCTTGAAACAAGTATACAATAGATGAATGAGAACAGAGCGTAGGAATGACCAGAGCATTATGACAACTTCGAAATAGACATTTTTTTTTTACTACATCAAGCTGACCACATAGATTTGTAACGCGTATAGGCACATTAATGCTGTAGGTAGGTAGGTAGGTATAAGATTAGTAACATTGAGCCGGGTTGCCGAGGTACAGTGATCATAGTTGTACAATATACGGTAAAGTTAAAGCACTTAGGATTTCCTTAAAAGTGGAATCTGTACAATGTGAGAAACTTACATTGAATATTTCTCGATCACTAATAGTGATGGGACTAATAGTAGTAACTACTACAGCTGCTAGTAACTACACTAGCTAACTGTAATCACTAACAGTTGAATTACTAGTAATGTTTTTAATAGAGATGATGAAGGTAATATACACACATGACGAAAATTTAAACGGGTTCAGATTCACATTTGCACGACAACATTAACAGATACCATAACTACTGGGCCAGGAACATGATAAAAGAGAATGGTTATGTTCTAGGCTTTTTAAGACGCATTTCTCAACATATACCACACGTTTCAGATGATTTTGAATCAATAGTTAATACAGCGAATACAAAAACAAAGTCAGGGCGAGGAGAAATTTGCACTAATAGCCTAGTCTAAGATCTCTAGCCTAGTCTAAGATCTCTAGCATAGTCTAAGATCTCTAGCCTAATCTAAGACCACTAGCCTAGCATAAGACCACTACAGTAAGACCACTGGCCTAGCCTAAGGAACGAGGACCAGAGATTAACGAAAACTTACAGAATGCCCTCACTTATGCTAAAGATATGAAAGGGAAGACCGCTAATTACAATACACCAAAAGGGGAGATAATTAATTATGCCTACAATGAGCTAAAGGGGGAGATATCAAGTGACAAATATCTAATTAGACCTACATCGAACGAAATGAAATACACTATATCTAATTAAGCCTTCCTCAAACCAAAGGGTGTAGGGTATCTAATTACGCCTACAATGAACCAAAGGGGATAAACTAAATTATGCCTACACAGAAACAAACGGGAGATATTGAATATAAGCAAAACAAAGTGCGTTGAAATTACACTTATATTATCAATCACGTATGGAAACAAAACATTATATATCCTTATACAAAATAAGTAAAATCGTCCTTTCGTGAGTATAGCTAACATATCAAATCAAATATATTAGAACCTTAAGCGGAAAATGTATATTTAGCACCAATATTTTTTTCATTCCACGCCTAGAATCTAGAACCCTAAATAGAAGAATGACACTATTACGTTTATTAATACTTAATATAGTGAGAAGGCAAGTAGTCATTCACACTTATATATACATAATTTATTCACACGCACGCTTGGAAAACAGATGTATTGTGTATGATTAAATAGGCAAATTATGTACATATGAATGTTGATGCGGTTGAGTACTCATAGTTTGCTGGTTCTATGTATTGCGGTTCTATGTACCGCGGTTCTATGTACCGCGGTTCTATGTACCGCGGTTCTATGTACCGCGGTTTGTATGTACCGGCTTTTATGCACCGCCAGAGTGACCTTTATGCAGGTAAAGAGTCACAATAACGTGGCTAAAGTATGTTGACCAGACCACACACTAGAAGGTGAAGGGACGACGACGTTTCGGTCCGTCCTGGACCATTCTCAAGTCACAATCGACTTGAGAATGGTCCAGGACGGACCGAAACGTCGTCGTCCCTTCACCTAGTGTGTGGTCTGGTCAATCAATGACCTTTATGCACCGCCAGAGTGACCTTTATGTACCGCCGGAGTGGCTTTTATGCACCGTTGATATTCCAATAGAGGCTCGCCATTGAAGATTGTGACAGATTTAGTTTTGTTCATATATTATGCACTACATACCCATCCTTTGAGCGGTAGTAAACGCTCAATACCCATTATTTGAGCGGTAGTGGATACCATACCCATCATGTGAACGGTAGTGGGCTCCATACCCATCATGCGAGGGTGGTTTACCACATGCCAATACTGTGAGGAGCAGTGGACCACTTACGCTGTTGTTCAGATTCAGCCACTAGGAACAACAAGTTCCAAGTAGCACGGGCTATGGTGAGCCCGTTGTATCTTACCTGGCACAGGGGGATGCGCGCCCCTTACACATGCTTTGAGTGGTAGAGGACCCCATCCATACCCATCACATGAGCGGTATTGGATCTCATATCCATCACATAAGCGGTAGCGGACACACACCCATCATGCGACCGGTAGTGGGAATTTTACAGAAGCACATAATGGGTTCAGGAACTGAACCTCAAAACTGCGCAACTGATGTATTTGTCGACTGTGATTCTGGAGTCTAGAGAATAATATACACGTTACAAAAATGACATAATGGTTCATTTATAAT